GCCGTCGTCGTCGTCGTTCGTCGTCGTCGGCGGCAGCGTGCCTGGCGCGCGTTCGCCGCGCACTCGTGGACGAACCCCCCCCCCCCATCTCCTTGAACTGTTTGTGCAACGCGCTGTTGGTCTCGCGATGGCCCTCCTCGTGGTCGTCGTCGTCGTCGTCGTCGTCGTCGTCGCATCGACTATCGATGCTCCCTCGCTGATGCTCTCTCGCCGCCCCCTCCCCCACCGCCGCTGCCCTCTCGCCGCGCCGCGCGTCGTGGGCACCGTCGAGGCGAAGGCCGCCCCCCCCGCCGAGGAGGAGGATGGGGGGTGGGAGCGGCATGAGGAGGTGGAGGGAGTGGGGGAAGCGGGGGGGGCATCAGGCTGACGAGCGATGGACCATTGACGCGACGGGGTGCCGAACGAGGCGCGCGTGAGCGCTGACATGGGCAATCGTTGGGCGCGTCCAGCCACCCCGGCGGTCATGGGCGAAGATAGTTGGTGACGACGTGATGGTCGCCATGACCATCACCTCGGCCGTGGATTGACAGGTGATGGTCAACACCGATGACCTCGCCCTCTTCCTAGGATTGACGAGTTGAATTGTCCCATCGTGACCATCACCTCGTCAATCCACGGAGAGGTGATGGTCATGGTGACCATCACCTCGTCATCCATCGACGTCGGCTGCGATCGAGGTGGTCGCGAATCGGGCCACCCAAACTGTTGCGCCCAGCGCCTCATGGGCCGCGTGGGAGGTCAGGACGAGGTGGGCTGGAAGAGGGGGGAGGGCCTGGAGGAGGGGGCAGGGCCTTATGCATCACCATCTTACCGTCACCATTTGGGCTCGTAGCGCATAGGTGCAATCGATATCGAAGCGCGTCCGCATCGTCATCGCCATGGCGAGCGCGGCGGCGGCGCCCGCCGCAAGGGCGTCGTGTCTCGCCACCTTCAAGGGCGTCGTCGACTTCGCGCGGGCGGTGACCGCCCAGATGGAGGATGTGGATCGGGCCCAGGTGATCGAGCGCCAGGTCGCCCACGTGAAGATGATCGTCCGTCGTGGTGGTTGCGCCAGGGATGACGCGACTCAGACCGTACGCGCCATCAACGCGACAGACATCTTCACGGCCGCCCAGAAGCGCGAGCTGATAATTGCAGTAACGGAGTCGGTGACGATGGGCGTCGCCATGACGGGCAAGCGTGACGGGCGTAACTTCAACGTGCAGTACCAGGCGCACCAGTACCCAGAGCACTACCTGACGACGGAGATGTGGGCGCCGCTACAGGACAGAAGGTGGGTGAGGAGGAGGAAGAGGCGACGTCGATATCGAGAGGCCCTGAACGTGTCGACATCGAGTAACCACTATCACCCACACTCTCGTTCTCTCCCCATCCCCACTGCCCCTCCCTCTCCGTCCACATCGCCATCTCATGTTTCGGGCCAAGGTTTCCACCCAGCTTTTTTCAAGTTGTTGCCCCGCCTTCTATTGAATTTGTTGGCGACCCAGGGGCCTCAACCAGACGACCCCGCTCCCCCTAGGGCACCCCACGGGGCTACATGCTCGAGGCTGGGCGCCCGATGGGGGTCGCGTGCTGCCCAGAGGAGCATATCAAGAAGAAGCGTGCATCGAGGCGCTCGGTGCAATCGTCTGTCTGCAACTACCCCCTCCTTGTGTCGCAATTCGTCGAGATCGAGCCGCAGGTGTTCGGGGCCCCCGTGGTCCCCAAGCCTCAGTTTAGCGAGGCCCTGCTCCTGCAAGCAGGGCAGATCACGAAAGCCCGCAAGACGAACGGAATACATGAGCACCCCTCGGGGGGCAGCAGCAGCATGGTCCCGTTCGAGCGCCCGAACCCTGGCAGCAGGCATCAGGACGCATTCACGCAGCAGATGAGCACGATGGTTAACATGTTCGGCCAGCTCATGGGCACCGCATCGGCAGGAGGGGGTACGCGGCAGGGCGACATCCCGCTGACCTTCTTGAATGAGCCCCCATCGGGCTTGCGGAGGACCTCATCAGCAGGGCCCCTCGAGCCGCCGACGACGCCCGCTCCAAAGGGCGCCGCGCCGGATCCTGGCTCGGGGACGCCGCCGCTCCAAGCTTCGAGGAAGCGCGCGCTCGCCGAAGTCGATGACGACGAAGACGATGAGGAGCAGCATCCAGCTATGAAGAAGCTCGCCGCTGCCAGCGGGGGGGCCGCGGTACGGCAGGAGGAGATCGACGAGTACATCAAGAAGATGTTGGAGGAGACCGAGACGACGAGAGGCAAGGGCAAGGCCAAAGCTAAGGCCAAGGCCAAAGGCAAGGCCAAGGCCAAGGCCAAGGCCAAGGCCTGCCCAACATCGACGTCGACCAAGGCGCCCCCGCTACCCGCGCTCAAGAAGCAGCCCCCCATCTATTACAAGGATTATGCCATCTATACAGACGAGAAGAACTCCAAGTGGCGGGTCAAGAAGGTGGGCGTTGTCTGGGGCAAGATGTTCAGTTGGGGGACCTGGGGCGCGTACGGCGGCGACGAGAAGAAGGCGTGGAAGGCTGTGGTCGAGTGGGTCGACGGTGACAAGGGGAACTGGTAGGCGGTGCAGCAGCGCTCCGAGTTCCGAATTAAGGTGGTGCGCTACGCTGGGCATAGCGCCCCCTGCAGGGCACGCCGATGCAATCGTTTTGTTCGCAGAGATATCGATATCGAAGTTTACGGAGTGGCGCTCGTCGTAGTGAAGTCACGATTGGAGCGCGACCCCGCTCAGCTGAGCATTATTTTACGCTGGTGTAGGGCAACGGCGTTTGCATTTGCAGTTGCATCGTGTGCTATATTTTCGTTCAGTGCGCAGACGGTCAGGTTCGCATGTGCCACGGGGACGTTATCCAGCCATCGACGTCGGGCAACGCGGACTCAGATCGATACCGCCATAGGTGTCTGCACGCAGCGCGTCATTGGGAGTGGCGCCCTTCTGACTGCCTCAATGTGAACCGAACAAATCCATTGTGTTATTTTGTTTTGTTTTGTCTTTCTCTCTCTCTCTCTCTCTTTCTCTCCCTCTCCTCCGCAGTAACGCAGTAAACGATTGTAGAGTGAGAGTAAGATAGTAGAGAGTAGATATAGGAAGCCTGGAGCCGAATATGAGACGAGCTCATAAAAGGTATTCGATTATCGTACATCGTGGCGTGCTCTACTATCGTGGTATGCCATCTTACTTTACGATCTTTGTCTCACTCTACTCCGAGGCCGCCCCCTGTATCGTCTAGCGCGGCCTCCCCAGCCATTTTGGCTCGTTGCAGTTGTACGTCGACGATCGAAGCCCACGTAGACTCGCAATCGCCGATCGATCCTTGCAGTTAGTGCCGATGTCCTTCACCAGTTATGCAGCGCAGACGGAGACGGCCCCGCACCTGCAGTTTCCGCTCCCGCCAGGCCTGGAGAATATGACGCCGTTCCCGCCGAGGGACGAGGTCATGCGGGGAGCGCTCGCTCCACCGAGCTTCACGCTCAGCCCGAGCATGGACTGAGCGATGACGAGTTCGGCCTCCAGCCAGCGCTGAATAACTACAAGCCCGCCAAGCCCGCGGGCGACGTGGAAAATAAGGTGCAGTTCCACCCGATGAAGGCCGTCAAGACGGCGCCGTACCTGGAGGGGCCCACGCCGTGGAAGTTGGTGCAGATAAAGCAGCGGGCTGACGAGGACGGCATCTTATACCAGCAGTACTGGGGCACGCTCTGGTACCGCAAGAAGCTGAGGAACCACTTCTTGAGGCGCTACGTGAAGGCGGGGTGCTAGTGCAGGAAGGACGGTGATGGGAAGGACGACGTGTGCTTCTATTGTAGCCGGGTGCACTATATGGCCATGCTGAAGAACCACCAGCGGGATGAGGATGATCTCGGAATGAAGCTCGACATCAAGAAGTGCAGCGCCTTGTTGTGCGCTTTGGATTTGCAGGGCATGCCTCCAGCTAAGCCAATGCATAAGCGCAAAGGCATGAGGCGTTTCTTTTCGTTGGTGCAATCTCGCATGTAGTGCGATCAGCACGCCACTGACGGCGCAATCGATATCGACGACGGAGTGTGTCTTTCAATATGCTGGGCGGTGTGGTTTGATGCCAGCGATACCGAGGTGGCGTGGGTAACCGCGCACATCGACATCGACGCCCACGATGAACGAATGTGCTGGGGATGTATGGCACGCGCTTTGAACAAAACACAACACCATCATCGCCATCATCGTCATCATCATCATCTTCCTCATCACCATCTGCAGCATCATCGCCATCATCATCATCGCCACCATCACCATGAAGGAGGAGGAGGGGGATGGGTGATTGAGAGTGGAGGGGGAGATGGAGGATGGAGGAATGAGGATGGAGGACCCCCGAGGCAAAGATATCTCCCATGGCCGGTTTGCCTGCGCGCCCCGCGGTCGAGCTCCGTCCGTCGGAAAGCCCATCGGCCAGCATTGAGATGGGGGTTTTGTGGTGCAAGAAATCGACATCGATAAAAGCATCGACATCGACGCCAGTAGAGACATCGAACTCGATAGAAACATCGACATCGATATCCGTTGCTTTAGGCCCGAGCGGAGAGCTGACTCCAGTTCAAAGGCTTGACGCACTACGTCTAGCAGAAGTGCAGGCCCCCGCGCCGCAGGGGGGGCATGGCGAGTGCCTCGGCTGATCCCATGCGCGAGGAGGGGCTGGGAGGTTGGTAGAGGGATGGGTGGAAGAGGGAGGAGAGGGGGGAAGAGGGAGAAGAGGGGCAGGGGGGAGGGCGGGGGAAAGGGGGGAGGGCTCGGGGAGGTGTTGGCCAGAATCGAGGCGCCGGAGGCTCTCGCGATGGCTCGCCACGTGGAGACCATGAATCGCATCGGGGAGATTCGGAGCAAAGTTCGGCGCTTGGAGCGAAAGATATGCATCGAACAGGGGTCGGGATTCACCTCGCCCTCCGAGGAGAAGGGCGAGGACAGCGAGAGCGGTATGTTCCAGGACGACTATGAGGATGAGGAAGAGGAGGACAGTGGAGGTGGTGAAGGTGGAGACGGTGGCGAAGACGCCGAGTGCGATGGACCCGCCAGCGACGACGCGCGGACGCGAGACCAGCATCGGGCCTCGAGGCGCGCGGCAGCGGCTGTGCAGGCAGCGGCTGAGGAGGACTCGGACTGAGCGCCCTCTTGAAGCATATTCTCGTCGTCGTGTTGACGGTCCTCAGATTTTCACACACGGCTTTGTATAATATAGTACCCAATGGAAGTGATGTGCAGGTGTTTCGAGTTCGCCCAGCATGCGTTGTGCGCCAGTTTTGCAAGCCGCCTCAGAGCGACACAAATACGCACGATGTGTGTGATCTGCTTTGCGAAACTACCACCACATCGAAATCGCAAATCGAATGCCGACGTTCGAGATCTGATGCTGGGCGCATGCTGTGGAATTGTATTAAACCTTTCTGGAGCTACCATGGGGGCGTTTGCCGACAGACGGCATCGTCTCCGACCCCCCCCCCCCTTCCCGCTCGAATAAGCCGGCCCCGTCCCCTCCCATCGCGACCCGCCATCCGCTTCGAGTCGCGTGAATGCGGGACTTCACTTGCGGCCCTGTGTCTGCCAGCATTCTCTGCGCCTGTGCAAGATCGTGTTGCGGCATGCCGAAGGTAGCTTGCCAAGGTGCATCAGAGTGCGACAACGTTTCGCCCTCCTTCCGAAAACGCACACCGCTGCGCGCGCGAGGGGTGTGCATCGATGTCGACACGTGTGCATGTACATACATATATAGATTTACAAACGCGCATGCATGCATACATTTATGCATATACACATACATGCATATACACATGCCTGCATACATGCGTACACGCATACATACATACATGCATAAACATACAACTATCAATATTTACACAACAACGTCTTGCATTCACCATGCATATAGGCATTCTCACGCGCAGTCTCTAGTATCATCGCAGCCTTCGTCATCACCATCGCCATTCTTCCACAGCCGTTTCAGGTTCAGTGTTGCGAGCATGAAGCGGGGCGCACCCGCCACGATCGATATCGATGATGAGACGGGGATGCAGCTGCGGTCGGAGCTTCTGGCCACTTCGCGGGGTTCGAAGGCGAGCGTCGCCCGCATCCTGCAGAATCTGAATAGGAAAGGCATGCTTAGGGACGAGGAGCTCGGAGGACGAGATGAGCTACGCCAGTGCAGGATAGCAGCGGAGATGCATGGCCGCGCGAGGACGCCATACGGACCTGTTGTGCAGACACTGGATGTCCCAGGCATCGGGCCGTGGGAATATGCACACCCATTTGCGCTTCTGCACTATATGTCGACTATCAGCGAAAAGTTTGCCAATATGCTGTCTGCTGCGCTCGACAAGGCACCTTTGTTTACTTGTAGCTTGGTGTTTTACGGTGACGATGACGCCGGGCAACCCTTTGAGATCTGATGTTGGGCGCCAGTTGTGGAATGTGTATTACGCCTTTCTGGAGCTACCAGGCTGGCTCCTCCATAGAACGGGGGGCTGGTTTTGCCTGGGCGGGGTTCGCGCCAGGCTGGCGGAGAGAATTCCTGGGGGAGTGAGCACCCTCTTGAAGCAGATTCTCGTCGCCATGTTCGTTGACGGGCCTCATAACTTCACACGCGGCTTTGTAGTTCCCCATGGGAGTGCCGTGCGGGTGTTTCGTGCTCGCCTGGTCGGTTTTATGGCTGATGAAAAAGGCCACAACGAGTTCTTGGCCATTAAAGGGGCGGCAGGGCTGAAACCCGGCATCTCGTGCATGAACGTGGTGAACTTTATCCGCAAGACTGGCTGCGCCGACGGCCAGTACACCGTCGGACTGGACTGCGCAGATAAATCGAAGCTCAAGCAGCTGGACGACGACACGTTCTGGAGAATGCACGAGATCTTGGTGTCGCAGGTCGGGCAGATATCGACGTCGAAGGTGGAGGCGCTCGAACCGAAGCTGGGCATTAGTTATAATGAGCATGGGATGCTGTGCGATCCTCGTTTGAGAAGCGTGCTGCGCCCCGTGAGTAATTACATCAGGGATTGGCAGCACACCCTGGTATCGCAGTGCGTTGCGGGGCTTCAGATTGCGGCGCTCACATCGTGTTTGAAGAGGTCGAATATCGATATGCATGAGATTGCCGCCTACGCACGCTTGTGCATCCATCCCAAGTTGACCGCGTCACCTCCCAAGCCAGAGTGGCTCACGGAGAACTTCATAGCGAACGGCCACGTGAAGCTGTTTGCGAGCGACGTTCTCGGACTTTGCCCATTGTTGCTGTCATTTCTTCGGGACAGGTGCTCTGGCCGCGTGCCCGCGGGGCACGTTCGATGTTTCGAGCTGTCAACGTTCATGTTGGGGCTCCTATCAGGAGAGGACGATATGACGGGCGCAGTGCACGCCACGCTTTCGGGGGCCATTGCAGAGCACGCGGTGCTGTTTCGCCGATTGTACCATACGTTTACCAAGGTGAAGTTTCATCATTTGGTGCACGTGCCCGACGACCTACTGCGACTGGGTAGGGTGATTTCGTGCTTTGGGCCAGAACGGAAACACAAAGACGCGAAGACGACCGCGGTGCATGTTTACAACCAGGTCGAGCACACGACAACGTTTGGAGATTTAAACTGTTACGTTCAAGACGTTGTCGAGGGGCGGCTCCAGTTCGACGAGCAGTATATATCGACGTCGAAGCGCCGTAAACTCGACATCGCAGGCATCCAGATGGATACGTCTGCAGCGGCTGCGTTGAAGTGTGGTGGCGTGAAGAGGGACGACTACGTGCTCATCCGCACTGGCGGTGCACTTCGTTTAGGTAGAGTTGTGTTGTTCTATGCGATGGGCGATTTCATCACAGTCCACGTGCGGGAGGCTACCGATGTGGACCCTGGGACTTGGACCATATGGGATGAATCGGCGACGCCAGACGTGTTCTTGTCGATTGCCAAGCCCGTTGTATACGTGCTCATTCCACCATCGACCGTGAAGATCATCGTGCCTTACTATCATGGCAGGGGCGCGTAGCTGAAAAAAAATCGACTGTCGGAAAAAAAGACACAAATCACCTGTCGAAAAAAAAAAAGTCGACTGTCGAAGCCGCCCCCTTCTCTTCTTCTGTCGTTCATTCCTCCTCATCATGCATTACATTATCCCCCGCTCTCCTTCCCCATCTTCGTCGCCGCCGTAGTCGTCGTCTTCGAGGAGGGGGGAGGGGGGGGGGGCAGGAGGAGAGGAGGAGGGCGAGGGGGAGAGGAGGGAGGAGGAGGAGGAGCCCCTCCCCCCCCCCCCCCCCCCCCCCCCCCCTCCCCCCCCCCCCGACGCGGGGCCGCCTTGGACAAGGGCGGCTCTCCAGCCCAGGCCGCGACCCGAGAGGGGCGATTATCTTCGCGCCCCCGTGCACCGCCCCGTCCTCTTCCCCTTGCATCCATTCATCTTCCCTCCAACATATGCATATAATTGCGCAAACATATTATACGGTATGCCCATAGTACATATATATATAGTACATATATACACATAGTATCTCCTCCTTCTCCTCCCTCCTCCTCCCTCCTCCCCCACTCCCCCCCGTCCTCCCCCCTTCCCCTTCCCCCCCCCCCCCCTGCCCGTCGCCCGCCAGATGGCGAAGCGCGCGCTGAAGGACGCCGCCGCAACCGCAACCGCACCCGCAACCAGGCGCAAGGTGGAGGGCGTAACGCGCGCCAGATACGATTACGACGTACGCTTACGATGTAGATATTGGTATTTCACACATCGTCCATACTTTCTGAACATAAAAATATAAGCTACGAGCCGAGCCGCCTTGCATTTTGATGAGAGTTCTAGGGTCTTGACTGTTAATGTACATGTTACCAGAAAAAAGCCAGAGCACCATTATTTCAAAATTGTGTTGTTGTCGGTGGATCCAGAACAAACACTTTTTTGTTACAAGAGCAAAATCTGGATCACAAGTTCTCAACATATTTGTTGGTGTTGTGGATGGCCAGGTGCCGCAAACATGTTAAAACCGTTCTTATTCATGTTACAAAATTATGTTACACGATTAAACATAAGTTGAAATCGTCGACTTATAAGTCGAAACAGTTCGACTTAGTAAGTCGAACCACGTCGACTTAGTAACTCGAACGTTCGACTTAGCTAGCTCAACTTAGGTCGACTTAGTAAGTCGAGTTAGGTCGACTTAGCTAAGTCGACTTATAACTTGATTATAATTCAATTACTGAGTCGAAGAGTTCAGGGCTAATTGAGTTGAGTATAAGTCACCTAACTTGGTTATAACCCGACTTACAATTCAACCTCCTAAGTCTGTTGTTGTTTAGTAACTCAACGAGCTCTTATAAGGTATTAGATGTTGACTTATAACTCAGACGCTGTCAGTCACTATTACTCGCGCCAATTTATAACTTAGTTATAACTTAGTTATAACTTAGTTATAACTGAGTTATAACTTAGTTATAACTTAGCTACTAACAGGCGTCCTCATTTATATCTAAGATATAACCCGCCGTTCATCTCAGTGGCCGAATCCCGCCGGCGGTTTTATGGAGCGCTGTTATAGTCCCTGCGTCGAGCCAGTCGTCCACAATCGGCGGCGCGGAGCCCTCGACCCGCGTGGGGGCAGCTTTGGACAGGGCGGCGGCGGCCTCGGCATCGGCGGCCACGACGCGCCAATACTCGTTGCGACTGCCTTCTCGCCCAGGCGCACGGCGCAGCGCTGTCCGCTGTGCTGGGCATGCTCGGCGAACGACACGTTTCAGCCCTAGCAGCGAACAGTGGAACCGTGATTGATGGAATCTTGTTTCCACTGATGGACGTCGGCAGCAACATCAACATTGAGTCTTCGGGAATTGCGCAGACAGTCGAGCGAGGTTTACGCTCGCATGGTTGCGATATCAAGGATCTGGATCTGGAGAAGATATTGTACGTGACCGGAGTGGGCAATGGAGCCGCCGTTTGGAACGCGTCATTACATTGCAAAGCCGCTTGCAAATTCTTGACGCTTCGCGTATCCCCACCAGCCCATCCATAGTTGATTGCCAGTTTTCTTGAGGCCTCTTGGAGTCTATCTTGAGCCATGCTCGGCTAGAGGCTGTCGGAGGCTATCTTGAGCCATGCTTGGCCATCTTGGGCCATATTGAGGCTGCATTGAGGCCTCTTGGGGGCTGTCGAAGGCTATATTGAGCCATGCTTGGCTATCTTAGGCCATTTTGAAGGCCGTCTCGGGCTATCAGGGGCTCTCTTGGCGCCATCTTGGGCCAACAAGGGCGGGGCGGGAAGTCTTTGGGAGAGGCTGGGGGGGGGGGGGGCGTCTCGGGGCCATCGTGGGCCCCGCGGCTCAACAAGAGGAGGCCCTTCAATTTGTGCCGCCCCCTCGGAGGCTTCAACGTGGCGTCTTGGGGCGCTCTTGGGCGCCTCTTGGGCGATCTTTGGGCCGCGTTGGGCCTCCTCGGGCCCCCCGGGGCTCTCTCGGGCCATCTTGGGGTCATCTTCATGTCTCAGAGGCCCATCGGACGCGAAGAGGCGAGAATGCCAAACACATTGGTTTTCCGTTGGCTTTTGAAGGCTTTTGGCATGTTGGAGGGCGCCGTGGAGGGCTCGAAGGGCATTTGGGTCCGTCTTGTGGATGTGTTGGCCTCTTTGAGGTATGTCGGAGGCTACATTGACCCATCTTGGAGGGCCTTGGGCCATCTTGGAGGCCATCTTGCGACTTGGGGCGCGCCATCCTAGGCCATCTTGGACGCCGCGGCGCCGCCCCCCCCCCCGCCCCCCCCCCCCCCCCCCCCCCCCCCCCCCCCTCACCCAGGCCCAGGGGAGGGGGCGAAGCGAGGTGCAAACCCCTCCCCCGAGCAGGGGGAGGAGGGGGAAGAGAAGAACAAACTCGTTATACAACCGTAGCCCTAAAGGGCTGGTGGGATATAAAGGCGACTCCGCGGGGGCACCGGACATTGCCGGGCGAGACACCTACTCGGCCAATGTGGCAGAGGGGCCCGGCTGTTGCATGCCCGCAAACCTGTTGCTGAGAAGCGCGTCGAACGCGCTTGCCATCCTGGTCCTTCCACGGGGGCATGAACAGATGGCCATCCCAGGCACAGACGCGCACGGAGTCTCCATGGGCACCATCAGGGCACCTGGCGTTCCAGGTCGACCTGCACGGGGTAGAATCGGAGGCCGATGGTTCGACAGCTTCGCTCGCGCGGCCAACCCTCAGTGCGAGGAGGCGCCCGCGCGGATCAAGGAGGCCATGGGCGCGGAGCCGATTGCGGGGCACCCTGCTTCTGGCGGCGCGGGGGCGCCCCTTCCTGCCGACGCCCGCGCGTGCATGATGTCCCAGGACACCAGGGGCATCAGCTTCTCCACTAATGAGGAGACGCTTTCATACGCGATCCAGTCAATGGTGGACATCGCCCTTAAGACGTGGTATCTTAGGAACACTGTGTACGGCGGCAAACGCACGCCTGCCGATCAGGTTTTCGTTGCGAGGAACTTGCAGGCACAGGTCTACCAGGCCATCTACAAGGAGGGCAGCAATTGGGCGCCACCCAACAGCGAAGTGAGGCATCCTGCCACTGCGGGGCAACCCGCTGCACCGAGCGACACTGCCGGGAGGTGTGACATCTTCGCCTCGAGCAGCGGCCCAGGGGCCCATGGCGCGGTCATTTGGACGCCCCCATCGCTCGACAATCAGCGACGGGGGAAGGCGCGCGCCACGGCCAGTCGCGCTTGCCCAGACAGGCCGGGAACTGAGGTGCTGTCTTCAGGCGCGGGGACGCCTGCCTATCTTTCCCAGGCGCCGGCTGCGTGCGCCGGGGGCAGCGGCGGACCCGGCTGCGCGGCTGCCGCAGAAAAGGATCGCTCATCTCATCAATATCACTCTCGCGCCTTTGTCGTTGAAGATATGCGAACAGCTTGCGCTGAACTCCGAGCTCGAAGATACACGGGCGACCGTATCGCACGCGCAGAGGTTATGACCTCTGCAGGTGCAAAGTACTTGGGTGGTTTTCTCTCGGGGGATTACCAACTACTGCGGGTGGCAACTCCCGCTGACTCCCGTGTGCGACTGCCTGGAAAGCGCGCAGGGCCACATTGCCAACGTATCCAACATCTCATGGTCAAAGCTCGGGCTTTACGCATGTCTATTGTACTCCTGTGGCCTCCAGGCTACTTCTGGAGAGTGGGTCCCACACGCGATGCGATAGGAGATTTAGGCTTGCATGCCATGCGACTGCGATGTTGCCACTATGGTCTGAAGTTCGACCGTTCGAGCCCGTTGCCGAGTGGCTCGCACCTGCCGGCGCAAACCACCTACGCTCGCACCCCCGCCAATCTGCGGAAATGCACCCGTCAAGTCGCGGGGGAACCTGCTGAACAAGCAGAGCATGAGTTAGACTGGTACGGCCAAGGCGCCCAGTGGGCGGAATGGCGAAGTAAAACGACCGCTATCATGACTGCAAGGCTGAATTGCCAAATAGACCATCGTAGAACAGAGAAATCATATCAGAGCTGTACACTTCAGCGTTCACACTCGAGTGGATGAAGGAATTCTGACTTACGTCCAGTCTCTTAAGAATGGCCCTCAATGGGAGCACGTAGTACGCCCGGTGACGATGAACCGCGACGACAACATTATCGCGCAGGGCATCAGAGTTCAAGATCAACCTATCGGGTACAATCACAATGCACCATTACCAAACGGTGTGACGAATATTCGTACTCGACTGCACTGGGAGCCTCCGGAGCCAGTCTTACTCGGAAGCGAGGGGCAGCGACCGCGCCCAAACATGGTCACGACCGTCGATGATGATCGTCTTCCCCCCCCCCTCGACTGAGCGCGGCCGCGCGCCGCCTATTCCCTAATTTCCGACACTTACATCGCCCGATACTGAAAAAGGGAAGACAGCACTACCTAACGATGACTGGATCAAGCAGAAAGAAAGCAGAAAACCTACAAAGAAGCTGGCATTAAACCACGCAAGATACCCAGGACTAGACACCGAGAGCGACGATGATGAAGAAGCCGTCGTTAC